CTATCCCGGGGGCTCAATTCTAGCCTGAGAGCTAGATGCTCACTTCTGGGCGTCATGAGTATTCATGCCCACAGGACGTTAGATGTGACACCCTCTTGACCTCCTCTAGATATGGACGCATCCTCTCATAGTCAGACCACGATGACAGACTTCAAGGACCAACTAAGACCATGAGTGGTGTTGAGTCCAGAGGGAGGGCCTCCTGTGTCCACAGAAGGGGCTAGGAGACCATGGGGACTGTCGCTAGCGATGGACTGGCAGACCCTGGATCTCACACCTCTTGGGGTTTCTGTGGGAGGCCTGAGGTCTGCGGTCTTCCCTACAGGAGGAAATGAATCAAAGAGACCTGTTGATGGGGTGCCGGTCCCGCCATGGGAAGCAGAGGAGAGGCTGGGCTGAGTCTGCCACTGACGGACCCATCGCTTCCACAGTTCCCTCTCCCTCTCCCTGCCCTCTGCACATGCACCTCTCCCAACCACCACCACTGGGGCCCAGAACAGTAGGTGGTGAGCAGCCTGGTCACAAATCTGCCTCAAACCTCAGTCCTGATGCTCGAGTGTGGAGGATGGGGTAGGCTGTGTCCAGGCCCTTTGGGAAAAGAGTGTCAGATGGAAGGCCAGACTCACACAGCCTCTCTGTTAGATTGGCTGATGACCAGGCCTTCCAGTGCAAGGACAGCCACCCAGGGATTGGAGTGCCTGGTCCATCCTCTGGGGCTCAGGCACAGAGAAGGTGCTGTGGGAACACAGTGTGGAACAGCAGGCCAGGCCTGTGACTCTCTTCACACATGGCTCTCCCCAGTGCTCTCTCTCCTACCTGGGGCCCCTGGCATCAGGAGAACTCCCAGGATATGTGGCACATGCTGCACCACTCCGGGATCAAGCTGACGTTGGCGTATGTACAGGACCTCTTGCCTGGCTCAGTCCTGAAGCACCAGGCCACCCCTTTTCTCATCCAGGTGGATCTTTTCCAGGCCACTGAGTTGGAGACAGAGGGTAAGGGAGACGGTAGGCTTGGAAGACTACCCCAGTGGGTGGGTCATGACTGGGGATTCATTTAAAGACAGTGGGATCTTGCTGTTTGGGGAA